TTGAAACTATCAAACCCCAAAAAGAAAATATAGGGGAAACACTTCAGGAAGTAGAACTGGGCAAACACTTCTTGAATAAGACCCCAAAAGCATAGGCAACAAGAGGAAAAATAAACAAATGGGATTATATCAAACTAAAAAGCTTTTGCACAGCTAAAGAGACAGTTAACATAGCAAAAAGACAACCTACAAAATGAGAGAAAATATTTGCAAACTACACACATCCAACAAAGGATTAATATCTAGAATATATAAGAAATTAAAACAACTTAACAGTAAAAACAAGCAACCAATTAAAAAATGGGCAAAGGAGCTGAATATACATTTCTAAAAGGAAGATCTACAAATGGCCAACAGACACATGAATAAATGCTCAAAATCACTAAGCATCAGGGAAATATGAATCAAAACCACATTGAGATCTCATCTCACCCCAGTTAGAATGGCTAGCATCAAAAAGACAGAGAATAACAAATGCTGGTGAGGATGAGGAGAAAGAGGAACCTTCTGACACTGCTGGTGGGACTGGAAATCAGTGCAGCCATTATGGAAAAACAGCATGGAGGTTCCTCAAACAACTAAAGATAGAACTGCCATATGAGCCAACAATCCCACTGCTGGGTATATATCCAAAGGAATGGAAATCATCATGTCAAAGGGATACTTGCACTCCCATGTTTATTGCAGCTCTATTTACAATAACTAAGAGCTGGAATCAACCTAAATGTCCATCAATGACAAGCGGATAAGGAAAATATGGTATATATACAAGATGGAGTAGTACTCTTCCATAAAAAAGAATGAAATTCTGCCATTCACAGCAACATGGATGAACTTAGAGAAACTATGTTAAGTTATATAAGCTAGGCACAGAAAGCAAAATACTGCATGTCCTCACTTACAATTGGGAGCTAAAAAAATAAACCAATAAAGAAATAAGAAAGATATAATGATCACAATAATTCATTAAACTTTCAAAAGAAGAGAACATAACTGAGGCTACTAGAGGTTGGAAAGGGGGAAGGGGAGGGGAGGTTAGCAAGAAATTGGTGAAGGGTCAAAAAATGATTATATTGTATAACACTGAATATACTAATTATCCTGAAAAAATAAAATTTAAAATACATATATAACACAAAAAAATAATAACTAAATAAATAAAATAAAACTTACTAGTAGCTACACAAATTAGAAAAAGAAAGGAATCAAACCTTTTAAATACAGAAAACAACCAAACCACAAGAATAAACATTGAGAGGAAAAAAGGATAAAGGATACACAAAACAATCAGAAAACAACAAAATGACAGGACTAAGACGTCACATATCAATAATAACCTTGAGTGTAAATGGATTAAATGTTTCAATTAAAAGATGTAGACTGGCTGGATGCATAAAAAAAAACATGACCCATCCATATACTACCTACAAGAAACACACCTTACTTATAAAGACACACACAGACTGAAAGTGAAGGGATGGAAAAAGATATTCCATGCAAATGGAAAACAAAAGAGAATAGGAATAGCTATACTTATATCAGATGAAACAGACTTTAAATCAAAATCTATACTACAAGACAAAGAAGGGAACTATATAATGGTAAAGGGACCAATACAGCAAGAGGACATAATGATTATAAATATATATGCACCCAACACTAGAGCACCCAGATATATAAAGCAAATATTACAGATCTAAAGGGAGAGCTAAACACCAACACGATAATAGTTGGGAACTTTAACACCCCACCCTCAGCATTGGACAGATTATTGAGAGAGAAAATCAACAAGAAAACATTGGACTTAAATGGCACTATAGACCAGATGGACCTAACAGACATATATAGCACATTTCATCCAACAGATGCAGAACAAACATTCTTTTCATCAGCACATGAAACATTCTCTAGGATTGACCATATGTTCTGCCACAAAATAAGTCTCGACAAGTTCAAAAAAATCAAAATCATATCAAGTATTTTTTCTGACCATAATGAAATAAAACTAGATATCAGTAACAAGAGGAACTTGTCAAACTACACAAATACATGGAAATTAAACATGCTCTGAGTGACCAATAGGTCAAAAAAGAGATTAAGAAGGAAATCAAAAAAATTTTTGAAACTAATGAAGACAGAAGCACAATATACCAAAACTTACGGAATACAGCCAAAGTAGTATTAAGAGAAAAGTTTATAGCAATAAATGCCTACATCAAAAAGAAAGAAAGAATGAAAGATTTCTAATAAACAGCCTAACTATGCACATCCAGGAACTAGAAAGGCAAAAACAAACTAAACCCAAAATAAGTAGAAGAAATAATAAAAATCAGAGAAATTGAAATTGAGACTAAAAATACAATACAAAAGAACAATCAAATGAAAAGCTGATTCTTTGAAATGATAAACAAAATCAACAAACCATTAACCAGACTAATTGAGGGGGGAAAAAAGACCCAAATAAATATAACCAGAAATGCCAATGGAGACATTACAACAGACAGCACCAAAATACAAAGGATCAACAGAGACTACTATGAACAACTATACAACAATAAATATGAAAACCTAGAGGTGGCCGGCCCGGTGGCGCACTGCGCTAGTGCGCCGCTTGGGAAGCGCGGAGGCGCTCCCGCCGAGGGTTCGGATCCCACATACAGACCGGTTCCCACTCACTGGCTGAGCG